TTTGATTTTATATGAATTTTTGAATTTTAAAACTAGAGTATATTGTTTAAATAAGAATTTAATATTTAAAAAAATTGCACACATATAGCTGTCTAAATGTTAAAGTATTAATTTTAATTTTTTTTCTTATAAAAATATAAGCCATTGTCTACTATGATATTATTCTAATATAATTCTAACCTGTCAATATGTAGAATTTTCTTTTTTATTGAATGCAAATGATATTATTTTTAAGACAAAAGTACATAAGTGAATAGGTAGTATAAAGAGCTGAGCTATAAACTAAAGCATAATATAATTAGAACTATGGAGCATACAATTTGTATTGGATTGGTCGTAACTTTATGCTGTCATTTAGTATGACTGTGTGAAACATAAAATTGGATTAGGTTTAGCATTAGAAAGAACTTCAAATTAGCCATGAGCAAATAATTCTGGAGTTTCTAAAAAGCTTTTAAGGAGAGCAGATAAAAAGTTGTTATTTATTGCAGTTCTGCTAGAAGAAAGAAGGGATATTAAACAGATTACAAAGTAGATCCTAATCATGGTAAGGTATATTAATATTGTGTTTGAAAGCTAAAAATTGAGAAACCGATTCTGTCTTCGCTCTACACTAAGTTAGTCTTTTGCATGATGTGGATGCCTTACCATTCAAAAATTTGAAGTAAAATATCAAAGAAGTGGGAACAAAGGTATTTCATTGAGGTTAACAACTTAATGTTACACTTGATGATTGTATGTATTACCGTGAAGTGTGTATGTATAAAAAAAAAAAAGGAAGATATATAATAGATACCAAGGTCTGTTATTAGAGTCAGACCAGCAAGTTGGCCACTATTGCCATTTGCTATTTAATAGAATTAGTTCTATTAGAAAGAAGATGTGATCTGTACCCCTATAGGAGGTAATTGAAAGGTATTTTTAAATATTAAGAGTAAGTCCTAAACGGCACACCTAAGCAGAAAATAAAACAGCAGAATTAGTTGGTGATTGTATCTTCAAAAATGTTTAATTTAATCAGCAGAAGAAGAAAATATGCCCAATTAAGATTTTGAGGAGAAAATTGTAAAAAGGTAGAATAGTAAAGAGAATTTAGATGCCTGCCTTGAGAGGCTCCCAAATGACCATCAATTTATGCGAGATGAGACACCAGGTGTGTACTTAAACAAAATGCTTCCTGTCTGTAATGTATGATTTAAGCTATCCAAGAAATGGGTATCCAACACCAAGGTGTTCTATTTAGTGAATGGTTCATAGTGTCTAGTGTTTTTTTTTTAAATCAGTGATAATGACGACTAGACTTGATGATATAATTATATTCTTATTAACAAAATTAGAAAATCATTTTCTTTATCATGAAAATATTAATTAAATAACATTATGTGCATTAACTAATTTGTTATCATTTTTGATTATCAACCTATTTAGTACCTAACTATTTACGAATAACATTTGATTAAAATTAATTAATTATTCAAATTAATTTTATACAGAGTGTGTAAATTTATTTATTATAATTTTACTTTATAAATTGTATACAAAATATTTAAAATAGTTTGTTATAGTAATATAACTTATAACCATATTTTATTTAGTATTAACTGAATCTATTACTATCATAGAAAAAATTCATCCAGAATACTTGTATACTTTATTATAATACATTTTCAATGTCGATCATGTTTAATTTTTGAAAAATAAATAAATTTTGTGACATCTAGAGATGTCGCTAACTGTACCTCCATTTTAATTCACATCTACTGTGTAACTTACACAAGAAGCCAGTCACTATATTAATAACTTTTAATGTTGCATGTGGTATCAGACAATATAGTTGACCGTTAGGTTAATTTTTTTTTTAAATAATAATAATATTTTAATACAATTGTATTAATTACCGAGTGTTTATTAATTTATTGATATATATTAAAAATTCTTCTTTTTTTTCTTTTGACTGTATATAAGAACTGCTATATGAGGGCTTACTCTAAAGCACAGTTGGCCTTATTTTGAGTATTTGATATATATAACAGCTATATAATTAATCATTTTATGTGTATGAAACTATGAAATAATAGAATATTGAAATAAATAATTACAAGTTATTAGATTATGTTATTTTTTAATATTTTACTGTATGTTTATTTTTCTAGTTATTATAATTTTAATATTTTTTATAAAAATGTATCATTCATTTGTCTTTGTAATAGATGTGAAAAAGCACTTATGGCCTCTGTAAATGTTAAGAACTGTGTAAAGTTTTATACAACTGCTGACGAAATTGGAGCTCATACATTAAAAGAACATTGTTCAAGTTTAATATCTGCCCATTGGGTAAGTATTGTGCAAAAAAAGAACATTAAAATAAATTTATAATTATTAATTTAGATATTATTATTTTAAAGCATAAACAGTAAATACATTTGTTTAATATAATTTATATTATTAATTTTCCAATGTTCAATTACTCACAAATATGTTTGTATATAGTTATCTTCTTTTTGCAATAAATGATAGCATTGATTATTATAAATTATAATTAGTAATTTAACTATCTGATATTTTGTTTACCAACTAATAAAAATAATCAACTTGGACATTAGTTTATTATTCTACTTGGAATTTAAATGAGCTAAATATACCGTATTTAGTAATGACTAATATAGTACTATGACTCAATTACTAGGTTTGAGGAAAGGATTTTAAAAACATTTTTTACGTTGGTATATATGTTTTTCTTAATATTACTAAAATATGAAATATCCAATAAATGATTTTCTGAAATAACACAAATAGTTACACAGATCTCATAGTAACACTACAATTAGTTTGGTTTTCTTAGTACATTTTTGGTGAATGGAGTGTGTTAATTATTTTCATTAAATATTATTTTAATAATTTTATTTTTATAAATATTTATAGGATGATTTTACCAGTGATGATTTTGCACATATGTCGGCACAATTTTTATACCACATGTTTAAGAGCAAGACCAAATATCCTCTTCATTCAGCTGTAAGGCTTAGAAGAGAAGATGTTGTATTCTTATATGTAGTTGAGCATAGTTCGCAGGTATGTACATATATAATTTTATCTTATACCATTAAATAGATTAATTAATTATAGAAAGCAAAATTAAAATTGTTAAAACTGTTGGAAGTGAAATATGTTTTTGAATAATGTAGGTGCAATAGTTTTATTGTTCTAGGCTTGTTAATTCTAAATCATAAATTAGTTTAATAATTATTAGTGAATTAAGCTACAAGCTTAATTAGTATACAAATCAGAGATATGTTTAGGTTTGTAAAAGTTAGGTTAGGCTTGGTTAGATGCACAAGTTCAAAAATTGTTTGTTTTTCTCCTACTGACTTGCTCAAAATAAAGTATTTTTACAACAAAATTGTAGTGAAAATCTATCGTTATTAACTGGATGCAAGCATGCTGATATATTTTTTTAAACAGCAAAGACGTTTTTTGATTTGTATAGCACATAATTTTTTTTCTATTGACAAAATTGGAAAAATTATATTAAAATTTACATTTGTTATGAAATTAAATTAAGTTTATCTGCTTTTAAGAAAATTTTAATTTTTAATCATATTAATTTTATTCTCGAGATATTCTTAGATATATCCATTTATACAAATATGTAGAAAAAAATGTTGTTACAACTTACTCTTTTCAAATAACAATGCCAATATTTTTCTATCGATTTGTAATGACCATTTTGTTCAAAAAATTGTTATTCTTCCAAAAATCCCCAGTTTAATCCAAGGTGATCAAGCTGAAATTTCTAATGGTGCATTCTTAGCTTGAAAAAAATGTGGCATATATTATTATTATAACATAAATATTTATATATTTATATTTTATATAATTAAATGAATTAAATAAGTAGTTATTATCATCAGAGTAAATTATGGTTATTATAAATAGTGTTAATTTGTAACCCTGCAAGTTAAAATTATTATACAACAAAATGTTAAATGTAGGTAATCTATGAAAAAGCTTTCAATTACAAGTTATTACCAGTACTTTTTTTAAAAAGTGGAAAAAGCAAAAAAAAAAAATGTAGGTTAAATCGGCATTTTTAAGCATAATTAGTTTTCGACTAACTTGATTTTGTTGTTTTGTTGTAATTCAAAAATTAATAACCATAGAACATTTTCTGTTTATATAATAATCTTCTATTTAATGGTATAATTTTTAAAATATTTTGACTCATTTTGACCTATATTTTATCGACATGTGACATTATTTTTTTCTTTAAATTTTTATAAACAATTGACACTTTTTCAAAAAGATTGAAAACCCAATACAAGATTCCACTTTGTTCTTTTTTCAGCAATTTAAAAATATTTAAAATACATTGGCACAATTTTTAATTAAATTACTTAAATACAATTTTAAAATATATTATATAGTATGTTAAGATAAAATCAGTAATGTGGCTGACAGACCATTCTCACTCAAAGAGTCGTTTTTCGTATTTAAAATTGAATTCAAATGTAACATTTACATTATTATAACGAGGTACACTCGGCTCTAAACTGTATAGCAGTGGCCCAGTTCGGTTACCAATTTCCCACTTATTTGTCCATCAAAAGTTTTTGAGGTACCTATTATCTTATGTTATACACTGTGCAATTCAGCAAGTGATAAAATATTGATGCATTAGTGGATATCATCTTATAATTTTGCTCGATTTTAACCATTTAATAATTGGGAACTCAATCTGTTTCTCAATATAAATGATAATATTTCCCAGTACTTCAAAGTGGTATTTGAACATAACTTTTGTTGCCCAGTCTAAATTTTAAAGTTCTTCATTTGTAATTAGTATGAACACAAAATTTACAAAACTGACTATACGTCTATACTCTATACCTACGTTTAATAATTAGAATTCACAGTTTGTATGGGTTCTAGATCTTAACAAGGTTACCTAATTTGCATGGAATGCCTATATACTATTGTGTTATAAAAAGTAGAAGTACTCGTTTTCCGTCAATTGCATAATATTTTATTGAATAAAGTATACATTGCAATTCACTTAGTAGTAAAGTAGAGGTATATCAGTAGAATATAAAAACAATTACACATTTAACTTGTATACTTAATACTAAAAATAAACACAGCCAAGTCTTGTTTAAAACTAATTAAATTATTCTTATAATTTTTTTTATCGTAGATAATCGTTATAATATTATTGTGTTACAATTATTTTATATCTTCTAGTCGATAATCAAAGATAGTTAAATATAATATTATCATATTATACCAATTTAATTAGTGTTATTTGCGCGTATACGTGTTCTATGATAACTCTACTGTACTAGGTACATTAGATATAGATAATTCTAGATTTGAAAAAAAGATATTTAATAAATTATTATAATATTATAACGATAAGATAACAGTATACATTTTGGACGTGGGTCCATTGAGTATAGTAAAAAACCAAAAAATGCAAATATTCACATTCGCGTCCTATATGTTGTGTCTTGTGTTTAGCATTTTTCATTTTTTCATTTAATATTTATTTAGTCTTTGTACAATTGGCCAAGATTTCTATGTGTAGACTCTTCGCGGTGATGTCCGAAACGCTATCGTTACGCCGGTTGCGTGTGGGTTTTCAGAAATCTCATGATATTGTAAATGATGATCACGGCGATCGTGTCAGTGTGACTGGAAAAGTTTGTCGTCTGTTTGGCGTTGTTGCAAAGGTTATCGTCGCAGTAGCAAAACTGCGTTTCCGCCGTCCTCAATTGGTCATCGTTGCCGGAATAGCATCCCTTCTTGAACGAATCGTACTCGACGGCCGACTCGACTTTCCACGACCCGTTCTTGTAAACCTGATAATCATATTTCTGAGGCGTACACCCTCTCACATTTCCTTTGACGATTTCTGTAAATATTATAAACAACGAGTATTAATCAATTATGCACAGTCTTATTAATATAATATAACCAGGGCTGTGAATTCTATTTACGTATTTAAATTTTATTTTTTCGTTCTGTTGTATATTTATTAATTTATTATCATTGTACCTAATGCATTTACGAAATTCTATTTTACATTTTTCAGAATTTCGACATAATTCAAGTGAATGTTTTCTTCTAATGTTCTGATTAAAGCATATTATTTTAATTTTAGCGAAATTTACTAACAGTACGTTGTTATTATTTGTTTTTAAAAACGGTATTTCCAAATGTATACATTTATGGACAGTGAAACTTTCATACTTCGAAGTCTCATGGCCCACGGACAACAACAAAAATTGTATTATAGATAATCGAATTCGATTGGCTAGTTAAATTAAATAGTATAAGCCGTTTTAATTTGGCTTTCAAAAATATTTCGTTAAATAGAAAATATTGTTAAATCGAAGTTTATTATACGTTTAAAATATTTATTTTTAATGGTTCATAAATACTTTAAATTTCATTAAAAAAAAAGTTTTGTAGTTTTTATTTTAAATTGCATATTTTCGCGTAGGTACTGTTAATGGTTATATTTTGTCAATTTGTAGTACACTAGTGAATGATTGTTTAGTTGTTTTTAGTCCAGCATTCAATTCATAACGAATACTTATAAGTATTATAATATACGAATGATATTTTATAAGATAATTCGATCGGGTATTATTATTTTCGACATTATGTATTTAATATGCACGTACTTCCGGCCTGTAGTTCAAGTTGAAACGATTTCTTCATGCAATACGTCGAATTCGGACAGTGGACTTTGTAGTGATCGGAACCATCAAACTTCGAACACAGTCTGGTCGTTCGGTTCATAAATGTTTCTGGTGCATGTACTGTACACTCATAGCAATCGATCTGACCATCAACATCTTTAAAAAATAAAAAATAATTTAATTCAATTACATAAATAATTTTCTCTTCTCATCAGTCGTTTAAGAGACAAAATTATACATACATTTTTTCGACCTTTTTTCATTATTAACTATTATAACGCGTATTTAACGGAATCAAGCTTATTTGTGGATCTCAACAAGTTAATCTTGCGTTCCGGGAGCGTATAATTACAATTATAACATTGGGTTACATATATTATTATTATTTATTTATTTATTTATTTATTTATTTATTTATTTATTTAATTGTATACGCTCACAGTTGGGCTCAGAACAGTTTTTTCTTTACATATATAACCAAAACAAAACATATTAAAATAAGCAAATTAACTTCATATTAATCTATTTAATTTTGACGTATTATATTAGTACCTATTTATACTTAATACATAATAGTACTTGGTACCGTTAACACTTAACATTTAATCATTGATTTCAACCTGGTTAAATTGTAATGGAAAAATCGAAATTATTTATTGAGCTACCAGAAATTAGCATTCTATTGATCTTATATCTAATTTAATATTTTGTTAGGAAGTCGTTTTCTTTCTCGCTATATATGTTCAGTCTTTGTTTTCTTTACGATTTTCTCAAATATGCACTGCATCACACAGAAATTTGCGACTGCTTAAAAGTTACGGCTTATAAATTCACTGTCTTGTTTAAGCGTATACCTAGAGTTATGTGTGTGTTGATTACTGTAATGTTATTCTAATCATACAAATTGGCACACGGGAAAAATTTAGTTTAGGACTATTTTGATCTTTTTGTTAAATAATATTGTTATTACAACTGTAATATCCATTACTATAACTTAACTTTTAACTATAACTTTACTTGATATAACTATTGTGTTATACAATGCACTATAAAAGGGCTTTTACCATTACTAATGATTTATTACGTGTCATAAGTTTCATACTAATGTTGTGTTTATTGTACATAATATATAATCCGTTTGAAGTTTATTATATATTTATATATAGTTCTATATATGTATATGGTTATTGGTTAATGTATTTTATTATATAGATATACCTATGTCAATATTAAAAAATAATGATTTATGGTAATAATACTAAATATTATTAAAGTTTTAAATTATAACAAGGATGCACTTGTACATTTATACTCTTGGAAAGTATTTGACAAGAGAATAACGACGATTTTTTTGGTGTATCATTTTTCTAAATTCTCGTTATTTCCCTCCCCTTAAAGTTTCATCAAAGCTGCTACTGGGTTCTTACATCTTTATCGTTATATTTCCGTGTTTAATTTGCTTATAGTCTTATTTGTACAGAAAACATTTCATTCGTCAAGTCTTGACTTCGTGCGGTTAGACCTTGGTGATAATTTTTTTAGGCATTTGTTATTTTTGTTTAAATTTGCACTGACAATAACTGTTACAGGGGCGCCATTATTGCGATCAATTACCACGTCAAATCCCTAACTAAATCTCAGTGTCTTGTATTGTCATTTAAAAAAATAAACGTTTATCAAAACGTTGATCGTTGTTGGAATTAGTTTTAAAACAGTATGTAATTATGTGTGTGCATTGTTATCTGGTCACATGTCACGAGACATAATAGTTGGTGGTTTATGTTTTATATAATATGTACTTGCATTTATTATTAATTTGTCGTTCGCCCTTGGCTTTGAAATCTACTATAGGTATATCTTTTTTTCTGTATTGAAGTTGTTATTTTTTTTTAGTCCGGAATTATTTTTCAGTCCACTGAGAGAAGCGACTCAAACATTTTACCGATAAGAAAAAAAATGTTTAGCAGCGTTAAACCCTAAATGATGGATCATAAATGGATTATAACTTTAATTTATTTTTATGGATATTTAGGCCCTTGATGGGTTATATATTCCAATAACTTAAGTATGTTGCTAATTTCAAATTATAATGGAGCATGTTATTGTTTCAAATTATCTGTACAGAATTATTTTAACGTGCAATCTACCTAAACTCTCTTTTTGCAATAGTTAGATATATATTCAATGTTTATGTTACCAACAATAATGACGATATTAACAGTTGAAAATGGATGGGCAATAATAAGTATCTAAACGAACATTTTTTGTGGACATTTTTGATTTACTCAATATGTCTATCTATATTGACTTTGATAGGCGTTAAAATAGTTAGAAATAAGTATGCAACTATCAACATTTTAAGGTTAGGTTAGGCCAAACATAAACTTAAATAAGTTATTTTTTTAATTAGTTTAGTTGCGTGCGTATTATATGAGGTATTTCTTTAATCTCTGCGATCCTATTCGATTCCGACTCCAGTGCCCTGTTCTGATACGCAGAACATTATATAATAGCTAGTACCTATGATATCTAAACTTTGAAGTTATTCACCTACTATACACTGTATATTATAACAATGAGAAACGTACAAGTTATCGTATGGAATTATCACCGACGGTATGATTTTGAGCATTACGGACCGGCGATGTATATAATAATTGTAATAAGACCACCGCTATATAAAATTGCCAGTGATAATGTAAGTCGTTAAATAATTCCTTTCCAATGAAGTTTAAAATTAAACCATTTTTTCCAATAAACCATGAAAATGTATATTATTATGTCAACTAAATATCGACTGATGTTTTTAGTCATTTTAGATGTTTCGAATAGGAAAATCTCGTTGTCAAGTAAATTAAAATCATCTTCGATAGATGATAATAAATAATGGGTGTACATTTTGTCCATAAATACCATGAGCGATGTCTCCGATTATATTTTGTTATTCGCGAATCATAATATATTGTATTCATAATTCATAGTTTATCCGCGTAGGAATTTACCAGTGGACAACAACATTATAATAAAATATAATATTTAATATGGTCCATACTGCTACCATAATAATTGTATTATCATATACTGAGGACGCAATGACGCGAAATGCTTTGCACGCGTTACTGAATATATTATATATAGTTTCAGTAATCTGCGTTTTTGCTGGTTAGATTTTTTTCCTCGTTGTCTTATTAAATCAAACTAAAATTTCCAAGAAATATTTATTATTTCTATCATAGTATAGGTACGATCAATGATAAGTAAATAAAAAAAAATGATCCTACGATTATGATTCATATTGTGGATGATATAAAAAGTGTCCTACTTAAAAAAAGTTTTTTTTAACTTCCTATTGTTTTCGATACCTACAATTATAGTCACGACGTTTTTTGAAATATGCACTATTTAACATACCTTTTATTTACAAATAATCAATTATTTAAAATTTTTAAAAGGTCTGCTGCATTTAAATATAATAGGTACGTATTATAATATTATAATTTATAATATGATGCCTTTACGTTTGCACGCATGCATTATTTTGACCGCATGACCCTAATCTAGAAATAATATAGGTAGTAGGCAGCATACTATTTTTTTACTCACGCTGAGATTATACGGGTTACATTATATTATGATGTCGCACAAAAAAATATTAGTACATTTATCTAATGGATTCTTTATGTAAAATAACAATAACCAATTATAACAGCATCTATGTGCTGAACTACTTACTAGGCACCAGCGAAATCAATACGTAAACGACAGCGGTAGCGAAAATCAAACTAGTCCGGAATGATAGAGGAGGGGTCATCATTTGTCGGTTAAAATTGAATTTCTTTCCGTTAACTGATATTGTATTATAATATTGTATCCACCGGGTTGTCGTGGCGAGTTGATGAAAACTAATAAAATAATATTTTTACATTATTCGATGCACATCACTGTACGCAGGTACATACGACACACACGCGCGAGTGTTGTTAATAAATGTACGACACTACGACCGACGCTCGAACAAGTAAAGTATAATATTTATTTTATTGTACACGCGATCTCTATTATATACGATATTAATATAGTAACGCCGCTCTGTAAGTTTAATGAACCAACTGAACCGCCGGCCGCCGACTGGCTAGCTAAACTTCATTCTTCAATGATACATTCATATTATTATTATTATAACGCGTGGTTCCCGCTGCTACCGCCGTACAAAAACCGTTGGATCGACGACGACGCTGCCACTGCAGTATTTCTCGTGGCTGGTGGGAGTTGTTCGACCACAAAGCGACGTAGTCTAATCATACTGAATATTGTTCAGCAGTCTGGTTTATTTATTATTTATTTTTATTTCATGTCTGTGACTATTTAACGTTTTAAAAACGTGGTCAACATTTTTTTTAGCTTACAATAATGTGATCATAGAAGATACAATGTACATATTATTATAATATGTGGTTTGATTTAATAATGATGTACGACTAGTCAATGAAAGATGAAAAACCATTTCTTTTGAGCCGGATATAATAATATGTAAGATTGACTTTGAAAACTTGTCGTAGGTAATGGTAAACGAATTAAGTTGGATTTAGGAGTTGAAATGGGTTATAGCATTTGGCCAAGTCGTGTCTGGTTTTTAATGTTGTTATATCTGTAAAACTATTTTTATCGAGCACTCCTATTAATTGTCACCTCGGTTTATATTTAAAAAGTATGCGAAACTCAGTCTAATTTTATTCGAAAAACATTTGCTTATAAAAAATAGTCTCACTTGGTAAACAACTTCAACACCAGAACAGCTAGGTGGAACTGTTGAGACTTGTATGCCACATTATATCGAATCTTAAAAACTGGTTTATATATACAAAGTGATTCACCAAGCTAGCTCACTACCAATATGTTTCACTTAATTATGAAATTTTCCAAATTCTAACTTGGATGTCTTAAGTATACTTTTATTTTAATTAGTTCGATTGTTTATAGGTACTATAGCTATACAGTATACACTAACTTCTTTTTTTCAACTAAGAACTAACTATTTCAACTGAAAATTAGTTTATTAAAATAATAAATTTTTTTGAAAGTGTTGATGTATCTAAAGCAAAGTCAAATGAGCAGTTTCTGAGTTATTAAAATGTTTTTACTGAGTATAATAGTCTTTAAAAATGGTTTTACAAAACTATAAAATAGACCGAATATTGGAACTAGTATTTATTATACTAGGGCTATTTATAAAAATTATTAATATTGATAGAATAATATTAATGACCAATAATAAAGCTAAATAAGTCAAAACTACTCATATCTATGAATTTTGAATCTGCTGCTTCAAATTTTTTTAAAAAATTATCTACTGAATATTTACAATTGTAAAGGAGGGTAGAGGTAGTTCTCAGAATTTTGTATCTCGATAGGACATCCCTTAAGTAGCATAAAAAATCTCAAGAATTTGAAAAATGGTCTTTAATAGTATATTTGAAAATTAAAAATCAGATTTTGAACGACTGGATTATTGAAGGAAAAAAGGAGAAGAGCATGCTTGGCGAATCACCCTATATATTTTTACATTTATAAAAACTATGTACCTACTATGACGAATAACTATCAACATTTATATTGGTATTTTTTTTAAATTGCAAGTTGAATATTTAAAACAGGTTTTGTCGTTTGGATTCTCTGACGGTTACTAGTTGCAGGTAATGGAGGTATTTATTTTTTTTCAGAGAGGGGAAAGGGCTGGGTAAATTCTAATTGTTTTTTTGAAAAAAAAATAATTCCACTCGCCCAATAGGTATATTAATATACTATAAAAAAAAACCAAATTAAAATTTAAAAAAAGTGGCTATAAATATGCTTATAATATATCTTTATGATTATGAAATTCATATATTATACGTGATTATTTTAATATTTTCAAGTCCTGATATTCTATGTTTAGTGCTTAATACTTCTTGTAATATTATACGTGTAGACGAGGTGGTATAACTGCAGATTTTATAATAATTATTGTTATGATTCTAAAACTTTTGTCGTACACTATTAATTTATATAATTTAATTTATACCACAAATCCATTTCATGTACAATTTCAATTTAAAATTTGACATACAAAAGAGTTTCCCGTTCATGCGTGGGGTAAATTGATCGATAAGCGGGTTCCCTGCGGTTTGCATGCCTATATGCGGACATGCGGTTCAATGCACCTTCTACTTATTGCCTTACCCTCACCTTGTATTCTACACAGATAACTATGATTTATACGTATCTTTTATACTGTCATCTTTAATTTGTATACGTGTTCTTCTAAACAAATACCATGAAAAATATAATTTAGCATTAACCTAACCTATGATAATTACAATATTTTCAACAGCTACTTTAAAGGTATATATAGAATAGATATGTTCATAATTTGTTTTTCAGAAATCCTATATATGTGTGTACATAATATGTAACGGGTAAAGTCTCAATTTGGATGTATTAAAGCAGAACGAATCCCTTTCTCTTAAGTATAGTATACACTATCATAAATAATAAATATTAAAGTTCTCATACAATTGTAAAATATTTTAAAAGTAGTACCTACTTATATTTAAAAATGTTCACTAACAAGTAAAAACGTGCATGCTTATCAAAATTCGTATTATATTAAAAGTCTTCACGTGATAGAAAATTCGTACCTATGGCAATGTGCAAGTTTTAATAAGTACATTAAATGACGAAAATATCAGTTAAATTTTATTATATTATACAGTTCGTTCACGATATTCTTTGTAATATTAATGCTTTTAAATTTACATCTATATATTTGTCAATTGTTGTAATATATAATTGTATTTATGTGTATTCAAGTATATAATATAATAGTGTACAGAAGTTCGTATATCCCTATATATAGATGACGTCATTGCACGTATTGGTACTTTGCAGTTGAAAATAAATTGTAATTTTTTCTCTCGAAAATTAGAAAACTTTAAAAATAAATGCACCGCTATTCAAACCGGATTGCTGCTATTCTAGCTATGTCTACTTTCTCCCAAAGAAATGAAAGAGCTGCTCTCTGTAGGTTTAATGATCTCGGAGTACCAAAACGAGGTCAAGATTATTCACAAATATATATTGTGTCCTTGCACTCTAGTCGTTCGATGATATTGAATTGAATAGGAAGAATATGATGTGTTCTTATATACAGTTTACGTGTGTACCTACACGTAAATAATATTTAATATGTAAATTATATTTATATACTCAAACGGTATTTTTTTAGCAATTCTAGCGAATAAACCTATTCCAACTGTAATACCGTTGAACTCGTGCTCTGTCTTATTCTACGTACTCATATCCCATTGTTTACTATTATGTCTATACTGTCTATCATTGTGTGCAGTACAGAAACTTACGTCCAATTTTCTGTTTTGTGTAAAGGATAACATTATTGTTTTGTAGTAGTGGGTATTGGGCTATGTTATAATATTGAACTTTATGCATATACTCAATCGTATGCACTCATGACAATCGACTGTGGAATTGTGTCGTATTGTACACTTTTTTTATCTGTATATTGAGAGATTCACCAACCATGCTCATCTCCCCCATCCATAGTTATCTTTGAATAATCCATTTATTAAATTTCTAGTTTGTGAAATTTTTAAGTTTAATTAGAGACCATTTTTCAAATTCTTATTTTTTTGGTATAGCATTTTATGGTTGTTATGCTTTGCGGTACAAACTATTTATTTAAAACTAGAACAGCACTCTTTTTATATTGTACCAGCTACATTGTTAAAAACGAGATTTTTCTAAACATGCTGTGGCATCTGAATTTAAATTAGACTGAGTAGTTTCCAAGTTATTGGACTTAGTGAACTAAATATGATAATCATCGTCGTTAATTATGGTTTTACATAAACATTAAAATAAATTTAATGTTTGGTCTACAATTATTATGTCTTAACCTATACTCATTCAATTATAAATCATAAAATGTTATTAGATTAACATTAGTTACCTACCTACTGCAATATTTTCAAATAATCATAAATATAACTCATACGACATAAATCCTCATATTATATTCTAAATCTAGTATCACTGATATTATTCTTAGTACTTAAAAGTATAATAACTCAAAATCTACTCGTTCGAATTTTGATTTCTTAACATAAACGTTTTCAAAAAAAGAAATTTGTATCTCACCAGAACACTCTTAAATGGAAAATCTAAGTATCTGAAAATATGGTGTTAGTGTATAGTGTATACTTAACAAATTTTAGTTAACAGTATATCTGAATGAACTTACAATAAATTGTGTATACATTTTTCATTATTGTTGTTTAAACATTTTATTTATTAAATTCTGTTAATATTTATCTGTACATTTTCTTTACCATCAAAAAATGTTCGAAATAAAAATATAATATTTTATGATTGATGATTTAGTACCCAATCGTTAACAATCTCAGTATGCACATGTTATTTATATGTAGGCTAGAACAATGGTATGAATTAACATAGCTAATAAAAATCAATTTTTAAATTATAAATGTATGAAACAATTTAAGGTAAAATATTCACTGGTCTAATTATTATGATATTAAAATATAAATATAGGTAACGTTGCGATAAAACAAAAGAATAATATTGTTCTTTGTAATAATAAAATAAAATATTTTTTTTCATTGTATAACACTTTGTTATTATGTATTATGTAAGTAGGTTATGTAGGTGTACTTGTATAGATTATATACCAATTAACAAGATTTGTTTTTCAATTTTTTAATGTTATAAGGATTAAAATGTTATGGGGACTTTTGCCCTCTTATTGCTTTATGTAATAAAATTCATATCTTTATTATTCACTAACGGTCAGAACATAGTAGATTCTGCAGGACTCCAAGGAAAATAATAGTTAGAATTCGTCCTTATGTATATTCATATTTATTTATTTAAACTGTTACATGCCTTTAAATCGTGTTGTTGTACGGGTACTAATATGTTTACATAGGTAATTGCTGAAACCTAGAACCTAGCTGCTCATCATACACATCGATTATGTAAAGATGTTTGAAATCCAGAACATACTAATGAATACTAAAAGCTTATTTCATGAGCTGCACAATTTGATTTACTAACATATACGAATGGTGTAATAATTATAATAAATTTGCTATTAATT